TCATGGAATCAGAATGCCCAAGCAGATTTCCTTAGTGCCTGGCCTCCCAACAGGTTTATGTACAGAAACAGGCAAAGCTCTAGGTAACATGACTTTTCAATGTTGAGGACACTTTGATATTGTTTCATTCATCGCCACTTTGTAATCGTCTTTCTCCTAAACACTAAGAACAAAACCATTGCTAGACAATATTTGTATTAACTCAGCTAAACTCAAGAAGCTACTTCATAAAACTACAAGATCAACTATTGGGCTAACATACATTTGGTTAAAAAAAAAAAAAAGCATACACAGAAAAAAACTTTACCCAGAGAGTAGTTTAGTAACTGGAAACAAGATGAGCAAAGAAAAACTATACCTTGGTACAGGGAGAAAAAAAGTCAACACCAAAATGGATAAAGGGCTTTTTGGAGACAGGGCTCATGTAGCCCAGAATGGACTCAAAGTCACTATAGTCAAAGGATGACCTGATCCCCCAGCCTCCACCTTCCAAATGCTGAGATTTCATGAATGTGTCTTCTACTGTTTTTCTTGCAACCTTCTCTCTATTAAAACGGTGGAGGAGAAAACCCCTTAAATGCTTAAGTTTCTGAAGGGGTAAGTCTATGCTTTTTATAAACCTGCAAAAATAACCAAACCCTTACATTTCTGTTAACAATACTTTCTATCAAAAGCACATTTATGCATGTTTGAAAGTTCTTATCTACTAAGCACAAAAATTTTAATGCAGAAGAGGGCCCCATCCAAACATGAAAATCTATGCCAAAAAACATGAAAACAGCCCCCAAAACTCAATTAAAAAATGATTTGGGAATTTGCTAGTCAATTTCTACCTGAAACTAAAAAAAGTAATGCTAAATGATGGCAACATCTAATTCTATATGGCCCACATCCTACAATAAGCTGTGTAAAAGCACTAGTTCCTAAAAAAACCACCATAGCTTATTGGAAAACAATAGCGATGTATAAATACTAATCAACAAAGCAATGCTGAACACATTTACTATAGTTCTAATCAATGACTTGCCAAATTATGAAGTTTGAAAGCATCCATGTTGATCATTTAGGTTTGGAGTTTTACTTAAGAGAAAAGGAAAAAGGCTATACAAGACAGATTCCATTAACACTTATCTCAGCATCTGAATTCCCCTTCAAGCTTTCAACGAAACCAGTAGTACTTACCTTGTAAAACATCTGTGATTTCACCTTAAATGTACCACTTTCTAATTTGACAATATTTACAATATTTAATAAGCATTCTTATTTAAGCCAAAGAACATGATTCAACAGTTTTAGGAGACTTATACCTAGCCTATGTGTGTAATTAGCAATGAAAACCTAGGCAAATTTTCTTAAACCTGGCATTAATTCAACCCTTTGTTAATGAAAATTACACGTGAAGGCTACAATTACTTTAGAAATAGAAGTTTTGGTTTTAAAAACCAGAATTTAGAGTTAGGGGATAATCACAAGGAATATACAAAGACACAGGATTGTTTAAGCAGAAGAGAAAAACTGTAGAATCTGAGAGGCAATTTGATGGGGGAAGTATCCAGAAGCTACTCCTTGCTTTTGTTCCCAAGATACTATAAGGAAATATTTACTAACTACCAGAGTATTTACTAGCTCAAGTCACTCTTTAGCCTCTTGTTACTCTGGTCATAGAACAGCCTTAATGTTTAAAAAACTTTCATTTTCTAGCTTGTAGAATTCCAGATTCTCAGGACAAAGACTCATGCATAATCTCAAGGAGGTTAATTTTTAAACTAATAGAAGATCAAAATTTGCTAAATCTCATACCCTATACTCAAACCATTACTGGAGTCTAACTATTAACCAACATTACCTTACAGCTCTAAACTAAAGAGTGACTTTTTCCTTCAAAGAAAGTTTCTCTACAAAATGAGTAATTTTTCAAAAAGTAGTAGAAGAAACAAGATCTTAATCAAACCAACTTTAAAATGTGCAAGAAAAACCAAAACCAAACAAACATCCCACCCCAATTCCTACAGATTACGAAGAATGAGGTACACAACACTGCAAAACAGCTAAATGCTACTACATCCATCCAGTAAGTTTGTGACCAAACCAAGCACAATTTATCTCACACACCCAACTGTAGTCTGTTTAGGAAAGAAACAACTTTGGAAGCCTAAGTGATTTGGCGGAACCCTGAAGTGTGGGAGTGTCCACATGAAGACAAACAAATAATCACGGAGATTCCAGGAAGCTTTACAGATTTATACCAATACATTAACTACAACAGTTTATGTGCCTAGAGGTCTAGAAGTCAATGAAACTCATTTTTTGGTTTCCAGAGATGATTGGTTATACCAGGCATATCCAAGACTATTTACCTTGAACATGATTTTTCACAAGCTTGCAAAAAGGGAAGGTGAACAAAGTTAGATTTGGCCACACTGCTTTGCAGTTACGTCAGTGAATGAAATGCAGGGGATTCGAACTACCTTGTTTTATGTTTGTGTGTAAGCCTTACATGACAGGCAAGCATTCTCTCACCTACTTACACAAAACCAGTCCTTAAACTACCCCTTATTCCTTTGGAGAAAAAAATGTTTAGTCCTGCTAAGTAATTGACTAGGATTACTCTAACTCTGGATTCCCCCTATACAGCACCAATATTTACAAACCAGTAACAATCTGCCTCGCTTACTTGGCAGTATTTCTAAACTGTCTCTGAACTTTTTTGCCAAGCCTTCTTGTGGAGTTTGGCTAAGTGTAGTGCTTCAGGTTTCCAATTATCCAAAGATTCCAACTGGAAAGCAAGAAACACCAAAGTGTGTAAGTATAGGACTGGAGAATTGGCTTAGCAGTTAAAAGCACCTACTCTTTAGGGGAATCGGGAGGTTCGATTCCCAGAACCCAAATCAGGTGGCCCACAATCCCTTTTGGGCAGCTGGGGAACAACTGGTACACATGAAACACACAAAATCGTTATTGTACCCACACAACATTAAAAATTTTTTGAAGCGTTCCAAGCTTAGAAACAGATCAGAAAGTCGATCTTTAATACTTTTCTCTCCAAAATAATTAAATAATTAAATGACTGTCAGGTGTGGTTGGTTTACATCTTAAATCCCAGCACTTGGGAGGGCGGGCAGGCAGATGCACAACAAGGTCAAGACCAGATTGGTTTATATAGCAAGTTCCAAAATAGCCCGGGAAAGTGACCCTACCTCAAATAGTCAAAAACACCAGATGGTCCATCTTTCTAATAGAAACAGAAACAAAGCCGGGTGGTGGCGGCACACACCTTTAATTCCAGCACTCTATTTCTGTGAGTTCGAAACCAGCCTGGTCTACAAGAGCTAGTTCCAAGACAGTCTCCAAAGCCAGAGAAACCCTGTCTTGGGGTGGGGGGTGGTAAGAAACACTTAAAATTAAGAGGGGTAAATAATTTTCCATCTCTTTCAAGATAGTACCCTCTTTATTTCAATTGCTTTCTTTCTGGAGTAATGTGTATTAAAGTTAATAGTCTGCAAATTTTCCACGGGCATGATGCATACCTATTTAATCCCAAAACAAAAAGCTATTTGCTTTAAATTCTAAACAGACTAATTTCAAAATCACACGCAACTTCGGGAGGCAGGATTTTTCAAGGTATGTGTGGACTACAGAGTAGGTTTGTAAGGATTTAAAACACAACAGATTTAAGATTTAGTTTGGGATATACTTCAGTAGTAGAGGCTTGCCCATCACGGGAGCCTAGGTTCCATTTCCATTATCAGAAAAACAAAACACAACCCCCTCCCCTGTTTCTTTCCTTAGGAAAGCCTTAAAATAACAAGGCATACGCCGGTGACACTGGATTTAAATGACCTTGGGACTAGAGACTCATGTGAGTATGAAAAGGTCTGATCAGTTCAAATTATTCTGATTTGGTTTCGCGTTCATCATGGGAGTCCCCACATGCTTTCTAACAACCCGTGAAAGACCCTTTAAAAGTTTACTAACACACTTATTTGACTACGAAGTAAACTATGATCTAGTGCTAAAAATCCCAGTAAACTTTTTTGTGAAAATAAAAATATAAGTCGGGGGACAATTATTCTTACGGCGCTTCCGAGCAGTTTTCAAGCTGCAATTACCTGCTCGTTAAGCCATGTACTTCCGCATCTTTCCAGGATAGTTTTAAAATACTCTTCCTACCACGCCACATGCGCTTTGTTTAAGCTCTGAGATCGGGTCTAACCCAGGCCCGTTATATACAATCTAATCATCCTCCACCCAATTTCACGCTCTGGGGATGGAAGCGTAAAAAACAGAACATGTGATTCCCAGAGTCAACAGCGCCATAAATTGTCGCCACCGATTACTCCTTCACAATTCCCCGGAAGGAGGAGAGGAAATAATCCGCGTAACAGTCCTAATGACCTTGCCTTCCATTCCAGCTGAGGTTCCCAACAATGAGGAAAACCGCTCCGGCACAAAGCAAACGGGGCCCCCAATTTCCCTCCGCCGTTTCCGCCTCCGGAGGCCCCAGAGCTGTTGCTTCCCGGGCCCACGAAGGCTCGCGGGCCCACGTGGCTCTTCTCCGCTTCACCTTGCAGCCCCGGGAGAGGCGGCGGGGCCAGGCGGCCAGGACCCGCGGCGGCTCCGCCATTTTGTGCCTCTGGCAGCGCGCCCAGCCCGCGAGCCCAAGATGGCTGCGGCGCGGCTTCGCAGGCGAGCAACGGCGAAATTAGATACCGTTCCCATCCCCCAACGCCGAGGGGACGCCGCGGCCATTTTTAATCGCGCCCCCCCACACCCCGCCACGGAAAAAAAAACAAAAACAAAACACAAAAAACGGCCGCCGCCGGTAGCGGGCACACGGCCCGCTGGCGGCCTCCCTCGCGACTCGGGCGTCGTCCACCAGGCCCTTCGGCGCCCCGGCTCCCTCTCGACGTCAGACTCCCGATGCCCGGCCGGAGAGGCCCGACAGGCCTGGGGAGAGAAGCAAGGTGGGACCGCGGCCGCCCGCACACCCCCGCGCGTACCCGTTCGCCGTAGTTCTGCTCGCCGCTGTCGCTCATGACTTCGGATGGCTGTCACCGCTCCTGGCCTTGACGGAAGCTGTCAAGCTCCTGCCTTCTCTAGAGAGGCCCCGCCGCAGCCTCTCGCGACGACACACTTTGAGAGTAGCCCGGGCTGAAGAGCTCCGCACCACCTCCGCACCGGTCTAACGCTGCCGGACGTGACGCGGCGCTCTTTAAGCGGGCCCGCTCACTCCCCTGAAGGCGCGCTTTCCCGGCCCCGCCCACTCCACGGGGCTTCCAATGGCTTTCCCCAGCCCAGGCGCCTCCCGGACCGGACGTGACGTGACACCCCGCCTCGCTCGCCAGGGCCCGCCCCTAGAGCCAGGCCGCGGCGTGGCGGGAAAGAGTGTGTACTTGTGGGCATTTGTGGTGGTCAGGGACACCACGGTGTCACCAGCCATTCCTCGGTGGTTTCTCGAACCTTCCAGGGAACCGTCCTGAGTGGAAGGAGAGGAGAGACGACTCCGCTTTCCTCCATCCTTTATGCCTTTGTTCTGCCATTCTGGTTTCCTTTTGTTCTTTTTCTTGATCTAGGAGAACACAGCCGTACTGTGGGTTCCTACCTTCCAGTTATTTAGACTTAGTTCTAAATCTTTCCTTCTAAATAAAAAAAAACTTCATTTAAAAATATTTTCTGAAGCCGGGCGTTGGCGGTGCACACCTTTAATCCCAGTACTTGGGAGGCAGAAGCAGGATCTCTGTGAGTTCGAGGCCACTCTGGTCTACAAGAGCGAGTTCCAGGACAGCCTCTAAAACAATGCAAAGAAACCCTGTCTCGAAAAACCAAAAAAAAAATTTTTTTAATTAATGTCTTCCTGGGCTGGAGAGATGGCTCAGAGGTTAAGAGCACTGACTGCTCTACCAGAGGTCCTGAGTTCAATTCCCAGCAACCACATGGTGGCTCTTAACCATTCATAATGAAATCTGGCACCCTCTTCTAACATGCAGGTAGACGCAATGAATAAATAAATTAAATAAATGAATAAGTCTTTTAAAAAAATTAATGTCTTCCTCACCGAGCGGTGGTGGCGCGTGCCTTTCTTTAATCCCAGTACGAGGGAGGTGGAGGCAGGATGGGATCTCTAGGTTGAAGGACAGCCTGGGTCTGTAAACAGAATTCCAGGGCAGCCAGGGCTACACAGAGAAACCCTGACTCAAAAAACAAAATGGAGTTTGAGACAGTCTCATTCTGTTGCCTGGGTTGACCTTGACCTCACCTTGTAGCCTAGGATGGTGCTCAGACTGTATGAACTCTCTTGTGTTAGCCTCCCAAGCCCTGGAGTTACAGTTATGAAAACTGCTTAGAAGCACTGCAAATCCTGGCTTTGATCTACTGGTTTCTTTTTGTTTTTCGAGACAGGGTTTGTCTGTGTAGCTCTAACTGTCCTGGAACTCACTTTGTAGACCAGGCTGGTCTTGAACTCAAAGAGATCTGCTTGCCTCTGCCTCCCGAATAGGCTTGTACCACCACAAGCTTGATCTACTATAGCTCGTATTTCTTGTCATTATTTGGTATGAAGTAAGAGTCTGGCATTGTGACGTGAGAAATCCTAGCACTGAGGAGGCTGAGGAAGGAGACTTAGAGTTTGAGAATCATACTTCATAGGAGTTCAAGATCAACCTGGGTTGTATTACAAGACATTGTTCCAAAAGAAAAAAAAAAAGTGGGAATCGAGCTTGGCATAATAGCACAGCCTTTAATCTCAGGACCTGGGAGGTAGAGGAAGGAGGCTCTCTGAGTTTTAGGCCAGCCAAGGCTACATAATGAAATGTGAGAGAGTGAGAGAGACAGGGAGAGAAAGGAAAGAAAAAAGGAAGGAAGAAAGGGAGAAATGACAGGTCAGACAGGGTGACACACACTTATAATCCTTGTAACCCCAACGCTTGTGAATTGAGGTCAAGGACAGCCAGCAGGTTAAGGCGCTACATGAGATTCTCCCTTCAAAAGTGAAACCAAACAACAAGTAATCCAAAAGAAAAGAGTCTGTAGTGACCGGTTTCTCTGGGAGAAGTCACCTGACTCTGCCCTCCAAGCATGGCCTGGAAGGACACAGATGTTTCTCTGAGTAAAACCATGATAAAAGAGTACTGGAAATGAGGACCATTAAATGAGCAACAGTGACAGTCTTGTTCAATCAACAGCTTCTATAAATATCCTGAGCTACCGAATGATCCAACAATCTTAGTTTTGATGAATAAAACAAAGCAAACTAGTGAAAGAACTGTCGTGATCTGGTCAGCCCAGCTTTACACAGCATTTAGTGAGCCCATCATCATTCCAACCTCAGACCATTTATACCAGATGGTGCCAGACCTCAACAAGGCCACACAGCACTGGGCAGCTGCACATCTGAATCTGTGGCACTGCTCAACATCAGCTCACCCTAATCCTTTATTGTCTCCAAATGGTTTCTTTTTCCTGTACCAAAGCCTGAACCTACAGATTTACCAAACTAGGCAAGTGTCTACTACCACACTCTGTCCTCAGTCCCTCAGTTGCATGCTCTTGCATTTTTTTTAAGCTTTAGATATTTTGGACTCCACTTATTCCCAGGGTTTTCCCCTCAGAGCTGGCACACCTTTAATCTCAGAACTTGGAGAATAGAGACAGGAAAATCTAGAGTTATCCCGGCGTTGGTGGCGCACGCCTTTAATCCCAGCACTCGGGAGGCAGAGGCAGGCGGATCTCTGTGAGTTCGAGGCCAGCCTGGTCTACAGAGCGAGTTCCAGGACAGCCTCCAAAGCCACAGAGAAACCCTGTCTCGAAAAACCAAAAAAAAAAAAAAAAAAAAAAAATTATGCACGCCTTTAATCCCAGCACTCGGGAGGCAGAGGCAGGCGGATCTCTGAGTTCAAGGCCAGCCTGGTCTACCAAGCGAGTTCCAGAACAGCCTCCAAAACAATACGGAGAAAACCTGTCTCAAAAACAACAACAAAAACCCAACCAAACAAAAAAAGAGTTCAAGATTAGTGTGAGTGTAGTGTTGCACACCTTGAATCTCAGTACTAGGGAGACAGAAGCCATTGGATCCCCGTAAATTCAAAGCTAGCCTGGCCTGCATAGGGGATTCTAGGCTAACCAGGTCTGCGTAGAGATTCTGGATTAAAAGAAGGGGGAGGGAGGGAGGAAGAAAAAGAGTTGTTGGTGGTTATCCTTAGCTACCTAGAATGTTTGAGGTCAAACTAGGACCCTGTCCCCCCAAAAGGGGAGGGGTTGCCATCAGAATTTTTAGCAAGTTACATAATCCTGGTTTTAGGGCCAGGCATAGTGGCTCATCCCTTTAATCCCACCACTTGGGAGGTTGAGGCAGCCGGACTGCTGTGATTTTGAACACACAGTGAGTTCCAGTCCTGTGGGCCGGGGCTACAGCGTGAGGTGGGGAAAGTACCCTGGTGCTGGCTTCTGTTCTACAGAATAAGGGCAATTATGGTTGAAAGAGCCAAGAGGAAGCCTGCATAAGTCATGTTTCTCATCACCACGAAAAACACTTGACAAGAGCAGGTTAGGGTAGGAAGGGTTTGCATTGGTTTACATGACAGCAGAGAAGGTGAGCTCTGCATGGTGCTGGGGCATGGGTTGGCCTTCTTTACCTCTTCACAACTCGAGGGACAGGAAGTAGAGAGGACCAGGAAAAGGCCTTGGCTATGAACCGCAAGTCCCGCCTCACCATGACTCATTTCCTTTATCTATTCCCTACCTACTAAAGGCTCCACACTCCAAAGTAGCACCATCATCTAGGGACCAAGTGTTCAAACACAAGGGCCTGTGGGTGACATCTCATATTTAAACCATAACAGAACCCTAATATGAAAATGGTGTCATTTAGGGGAGAAAGTATGGTGCTACTTTTCCTGGGGAGTGACAAAAAAACAAACAAAACAAAACAAATACCCCAAACCCACCAATTCACTACGGATAGTGTACCAACAGTATATCAAAGAAACAATTCTGACCAAGTCCAGCTGGGTGAAGTAATTTATTGGGTTTACTTATAGGAACCCAATGTAGGGTGGGGGGTGATGAATTGCTTACAGGAGCCTGGATCACCCAGAACTAGTTGCATTAGCAAAAAGCCCACCCCAGTATGGGTAGTGACCTTGTGAAGACTCCAGTCATCCTTTCTCCCCTGGTAATCCTCTGGTAATCTCATGTTCCCGTGGGGCAGGCTACATGCAGCTGGTGGAATGGGACAAGCAAAGAGGATGTGGCTGGAATCTCATGTTAGAATCTGCTGTTGTACACCAGAGGGGTAAGATTAACAGTCCCAGTCCTCTGAGGGTCTCATTCAGGCAACCACAACTGCTCTAATTTCAGGACGTCGATGGTCATGTCATGCCCAGAAGACAGAGTCCCACAACACATATGGTACTCAAAGCCTTCTGAGATGCTAAGATGGCAATCCCTACCTTAGACCATCGGACTCAACAGGTCTACAGCACAAAAACCAAGTGAATATTAGAGAATGCTGATGAATTATCTCAATCAGATGACAGTCTTGATTTTGTTAATTTAGACTGGGTCCCCTATTGTGGGGAGTTTATTTTATGTCCTGCTAAAAGGAATATAATTTTGTTTTGTGTCTTTCCCATTTTTTGAGACAGGGTTCCTCTGTGTAGTTCTGGCTGTCCTGAACTCACTCTGTAGACCAGGCTGGCCTAGAATTCCAGAGATCCCCATCTGCCTCTGCCTCAAGTGTTGGGACTAAAGATGTGCCACCACTGCACTGACCTTAATGTTTTTGTTTTAGATTTATTTGTTTTACTTATATTTTATGTGTATGAGTGTTTTGCCTGCAGGCATATGCACCACTGGAATGTCTGGTGCCCACAGAGGCCAGAAGAAGGCGTCAAAATTCCAGCAACTGGAGTTGCCAATAGTTGTATGCAACTATGCGCATGCTAGCAATTGAACCTGGGTCCTTGTCCTTGGAAAGAACAACAAGTGTTCTTAACTGCTGAGTCATTTCTTTGGCTCCAGTGGTGATGAGGAAGAGGAAGAAGAGGAAGGTAACTTTGTCTGACCTGGAACTTGTTATATAGATCAAGTTGAACTTGAACTCACAGAGATCCACCTGCCTTTCAAGTGTTGGTATTAAAGGTATGTGCTGCCAGTCCAGGCGGTGGTGGTGCATGCCTTTAGTCCCAGTGTTGTGCCCAAATTGCAAAGATC